GAGCATATTAATAAAATAAAATAAAATATTCATGATTTTAGTTTATTTTTGTTGAATTTATTAATAATCTTTATATATATTTATATATGTATGGCTTTGAGCAAAGACAAAAGAAATACTCTAACTCATCCCTGATCATACAGTTGTTGTAAGAATCAGCTATTCTACTATCTTCCCAGCAGCAATCAATAATACATTTCTTTCTGTACAGATTAAAACTCCATACTTACGGGCTTAACTATGTACAGAGAAAAGAGGTCACTTTTCAATTAGCAATGGACCTTTATATTACAGGAATGTGAGTCATTTTTTTTCTTAGCCTAAATATATACATTCCTATATATATGTATATAATTTACCCTGTACCATTTTATTAGTTGAACATATAAACCTTAGTTATTTTGTCCATTCTATTACAAAGTGAATAAAAATTGTGTGGTTGCACTGAAAGACCATGCAATTCAGTTTTGCTTCTGTTTCCCAATAGTGCTCAAAATAAAAAACCAAAAATTTATATATATAAAAATATTTCACTACCAAATCCATTAATCCTATCAAATGTAAACCTTTAATAATTTAAAGGACCAATACATGATCTTAATAAATTGAAGTTAATTCTCATATTTTAATAAAATAAAGGAGTTTTGTACTGATATGTAAATGGTCTTGCAGCTTTCCCATAGGTTCTAGGTAGACTGAACAATTTAATTCCTTTCTCAAATTCCTGACATGCCATCGTATGTCACCAGCATGTTAATGACAGCATTACATTGACTAGCATTGTTGATTACTTCCACACAAGTTGGGATCTGTTAGAAATTAAACATAAAAACTCATTTTGGTATTGTAGGTCTTATATCCATAAAAGGCATAACAGGCAGCATGGATCCACTTTAGAGTTTTTGCTTTTGTCTTTCTTTTCTGTCATCAAGTCTATCTGGAGGCCCTGTCCCATATAATGTATGATCTTTGTAAGTTCTTCTTAAATGTATCGCCGGTGTCGGAGATACTGAAGACCTCCACTTTAGATCATTCTCTTAACTTGGGTTATTTACAGAAGTTGGTTATTAGGAATCTTCCAATCGTGTTCCAGTCATCCAACACATTCGTGGGAAGCATTAGGCACAAATGATTACTAAGGGACTTCTTTTAGAAGTGGATGCTCACAGATCATGGAAAGAATTAAGGAAACAAACAAACAAACAAACAATGCTCACAGACATTCAACTTTACCCCTGTTTTCTGTCGCCATATCCATACTATTTTCAGCACATTTAAAATAACAAACCTCCTACCTAAATGCTATGTTAGTCACCACATGCCTTAAGATTTACTAACCATTTAGTTACAATATACATGGAGCAAAATGCGTGTTCCCAGACATGATGCTGTATTGAATTTATTTCTTTAACACCACAGTAAATTACCAACTACAGTGAAGACAAAGACCACACTTGCAATTCCAAATCAAGCTGTGGTTTACAAATAATTATTTAAATAATAATAATAGTGATAATATTAAATAAAAGTGAAAACCTCACTTCTAGACTTAAGTCAGAGATCCAAGTCAGCCTTATAGGAATTTTAAGATAGGCAACTAATGAATTGTTATACTTTTCTAGAAATGAGAAATACTGTAAGCCTTCCCCTACAATGACTGATTTGAACCTATGTTTTTCCCCAAAGCATGCAGAGACTATTTTCAGATGCTTGACTATGGCGAGAAGGAAGAAAAGTAATGATTTTTTGTGTAATACAAGCAATTTGTAGATTCGAGCATACAGTTTTGCATAAAACATTGCAGGTTAAAATAATTTTGTAGGTTTTAAGCCATTGCATTACAATTGAATAATTGTCACAATTAGGTTTTGTAAAATTTAAAACTCTAAGTTTTGAAGTGAAGCAATAAAACTAAATTCTTAAACAATGACTTTTACCTTCATACAATACAGAAGAGCTATTTTTATTTGGGCTAAAAAAGTTATTTACAACTAACATTGATTGAGTCTTGGTAAAAGTCCAATAACACATGAAGACAAATATTCCCTCAGCTTTCTGAAAGATCAATGAACATATTTGTTAGAGATATTCTTAACAGTGGCAATGCTAGTCTCCTATGGTGGCCAAGCACGTAGCGTGTTCTTCAACCTAATTCAAAATTGAAAGCACTGAAATACGATTTAGATTTATAAAATGGGATTTTCTATTTAATCCTCCATAATTAATGATTAGCAATTTAGATGCAGAGACACAGCTAAAGAAAGAAGGTTTTGATTGGTGCTATTCAGTAGCTCCTTTGAGTTGCCTTTTTAAAATCAGAGATTTTTTTCCATTGAATCCAAGAACTCTTCATAAAATAGAGAAATACGTATATCAAAGGGATTACGTAAAAGTAAGTTAGAAATAAATAATCTTACAACAACATTTAAAATTCTTTAATGATTTAAAGAAAGGAAGACATGTAACACTGAATGCTAAACAGGTCTTTTGGACTTTTCTTGGGAATTTAGATATATATTTAATAGTATATGTATTTATATATTTTTACATTTTGCGTGTAGGCCAGAGCTGTCTAAAATATCTCTTCATAGTAGGCTATAGGGATCTATCAGGAGATAGAATAAAATAAGGTCTGAGAATATTCTCAGTTTATTAGAGTATTTCTTTCTGCTTTGACAATCAGCAGGGATCATAAATTTGAAGCAAATCGTGGCTTTTCTGCATCTAGGTCTGTGTTTAAGACTGAGGACGACTCTCTCGGAAGAGCAGCTGCTGGTGGAGGGGGTGCCGGAGGGACTCCTCGGTTGGGAGGAATGGCTCCCGACGACATCTGTCGGAAGAGGGTGACTCGCTGCGGGACAGAGCTCCTGCCCCCTGCCTGCAGGCCCGTGCCAGGGACAGCCGTCACGGGTTGAGGGATGGAGGCCAGGGACTCGCCCACAGTGGGATGAGGTCTGGAAATCAGGGTGGAAACCTCATGGGGCAGCGAGGGCTGCGAGGCGGAGAGGGGCCTGACCTCTCGGGTCAGGTTGGTGTTATGAAGCGCCTGCGTGCTCTTGTGGACTTCGTTTTTCGGCGTGGAGCTGCCGGGTGTCTGCGGCTGCTGCGGCGGCTGCTGCTGAGTCTGCGGTGGTGGCTGGGACTGCTGTAGCTGCTGCTGCTGCTGCATGAGTGACAACTGGGAGGCGGTGGGGGAGGCGTAGTGGAAAGTTCGAGTGGCCAGCGGGCTCTGTACGGGAGGGCTGCACACCGCAGTGGTGTAGGAGCAGGGCGAGAGGACGGCTGACGGTTGCGGGGTTTGTGTGCTGGGGCTGGGGGAATGCAGGTTGCTGTGAGACAGACTGGTCGCTGTGTACACCGGTGGAGATTGTGTCCTCATGCGAGAGGTCGGGGTGGTGGTTGAAGACGTGGAATTTAGGGCTGTCATTTGAGGGTAATTGATGGGAGCGATTGCCTGCACCATCTCCCTGTCATGTTTCACGATCTGCTTCAGGATCTCGTTCTCCTGGTTGTTGAAAACACCAGTGTTCAGATCCTTCTGGAACTTCTGCAGAAGAATTGAGTTTTTCTTTCCTGTCAGCAAAAGAAAGATAGGCACTTAGAAAGCCTACCAATGACCGATGACAACACCAAGTGGGAGTGGCTCCTGCAAACGGAAGTATCTCGGTGTTTCCTAGAAGAAGCTCAAAACACCAAATACTCACCTTTAGACACCAAATAGAAACGTGGTTCCTGCCTTTCTTGCTTTCTGTCTCTCTCTAGTAAATCTTAACCTTCTTCTCAAGTCAAGTCGCAAAGCCTGAAAGTGGCAAAAAGCCACTTTACAGAGGAAATAGAGACATTTATTTAACATGAGGGCCACCTTAAAAAATGGAGGAAAGAAAGAGCTTTTGGATTAGGATGGGCCTGGAATGAGCATTTGATTTTAAAGCTACTTTTTCAAGAAAGGATGAGGGAGCAATAAAAGCTAACGTTTGTCACTATGTGACAGGAGCTCTACAAAAGATTTTAGGGAGATTATTTTATTTAATCCTCGACCCTGTGAAAATGGTCTATTCATAATCCCATTTTACCCGAAAGGAGAAAAGGAGAGCAGGACATGGGAAGATTAAGAACAATGCCTGAGAAAATGTGGTTAGTAGGTAACAGGGCTGGAAAGGGTAAAAAGTAAATCTAATTATATTTCCTTTCTAGATAGCAAACCAGCTGCATCTGTATCATCTGGGTGCTTGCTAGAAACTCAGCCTCTTGGAGATGATCTCACTCGCTAAATCGGATGTTGCAATGTGTACTAAGATCCACATGCAAGTTTGAGGGTCACTGCATGAAATTTGCTTTTGACCAGCACCCTACACCAGTGATTCTCAATCCTAGCTGCATATTTTTCTTATCTCTGGAGCTTCAAAAAATACTAATGTCCACCCATACCCTACCAATTAAACCTAAATAACCAAACATGGGGTCCAGATTTTGGTAGTTTAAAAACAAATTTCCCCGGGGATTCTCAAGTGCAGCCAGATTGAGAACCACTTCATAACCTTTCCTCTTCTGAATGGTTGTTGTGAGGACCAAGGGCATGGTCTATGGCAGCCTCACAGCTCCCTCTAGGACCTCAATAAGCATTAGGTCTTCCTCCTGGTATTAGGTCCTCCTCCTCCTAACCATCTTTGGAGTTGTTTGCAACAACTAACATTCTCTGGTAGAGTAACAATTAGAATCAATAGTAGATTGGTGGAAGAAGGGAAAAGTGGTGACTTTTCTATGACATCATAAATACACTAATATCCCAAATGAATATGTAACTGAAGAGTGAATCAATTTGCTATATTGTTAAAGGAAGTATCATATTGAAAGTAACAAAGTATATTTTTGAAATGGAAATATGTGTTATAATTTCTCTTGACTGCTAGGAAATGCATTGCCAAAATAGTTACCTCTCACTTCTTACAGACTGTCCTAATTTCCCAAAGAACAGAACCTTCTACATTAGTAATAAATACAAATGCTTATTTAGCATATTTCCTTAAATAACTACAGCATAGATTTATTAGCAATGGCCACAAAACTGAGAAAGATAATGTTTCTTTGTGATTATGTGAATAGTCAAATACTGTAACTTTGGAAAAAATAACAAATTTTAATATACGGTTACAATTTATAAAGATCAAAAAATATACTCAGTGCTCACAAGAAATTTTATTGCCTGATTATTGATTACAAATTGTTTCATGAAAACTTTCTTATAAAAAATTAACTTTAATAAGTTAGAGTGACCTTATGTCAGATTAATAGAAATTCCCTATTGAAATATCCTGATTTAAATGCTTTATCTAAAATTGTCTCATTGGTTTAGGAAAAAATATTATATTGTATGCTCAGAAATTAGTCTCATACACATACCACAAAGAGCCACAAAAGAGGGAACTCATTTTTAAATTAAGCCAGGATGCTTTCAGGAGTACCCATTTCTTTTGTGGGTATTGTCTCCCTGGATAATTATGTTTTGTTAAATCTCTAAGATGTATCTGTTGGTAATGTCCAAAAACTACCTTTATTTCTTTTAATGCAATTTCAGACCCTTATGCAGTCTGTTGTCCTATTAATATAGAGGGAAAGGAAGACCCGAAGTTCAGAAAAAAAGCTGACTTAACAATACATTAATCTAAAGTCCTTACCGTTTATAAAAATGAAGCAGTTGAGGTACCTCCTTGTTTATTACAAGTTATCCCAGCCCCATCTCTTTTGAGCTCATTTTTTCCATTCTCCTTTCCTATCTCTCTTTAACAAATATTCATTGTGTACTAGGTACGGTGAATGTTAAGGTGATTAGACAAGAGTTCTGCATTCACAAAACTTAGTATCTCTAGAGCAATTATAATAATAAAAGCAGTGTTGTGATGGCGGAACTTCAGAGGCTACAGGAGAACATCTTCAGGAAACTCAGCCTAGTAGGGGGTAGAAGATCTGAGAAGGTTTCTACAGGGAGTGATGTCTGAAGAGAGATATGAAGGTTGAGTAGAGTTAAGCTGACAAAGGGTACAGAGAAGGGGAGGGTGAGCAAAGAGGGTTTAGGTGTAGAAAATGAATGAATAATACCTTATGACAGAGCAGAATATTCTAGAATATCTAGGGAAGTTAACAGCAAGCCAATCTGATCTAACTTTGCCATGGCAATTATGTAGACCTTTAAACTAGCATAACTAATAAGTTCTAATGTATATACTTTTTATTTAGTAGCAGAAAAGACATTAAAATATGGTGATGTTTGCAAGGTAAAGCATCTAGGTAGGGCACTTACATCAAGGCTTTTACTGCTTGAGTCTGTATTACAAACATTTCAATAATTTTTTGGTGAGACTAATTTAAATGCACAAGTTTTTGACTCTTAATATAAAGATAAAATGTAAAGTTGATCCTTAAAAAATCTTGTGATACAATTTAGTTTGTAATGTAGACTCGCACTACTGTGTTTTTAGTTCTATTTTAATGCTATCTAGAATTTTTATCATTGCTTTTTACCTGAAGATTCAAACTGTATTGGCATCACTCGGGAAATCAGATTGCGCAGCTAGTAAAAATAGACATAAATAAATAAACCCAGAATACCTAAAAGAGATGGATAGGGAGCCAGATCTTTAAAGAAATATGGCTACAGCTAATTGATATTTCTATACAAATTAACAAGCAAGTTATGAACTAGCATTTAGAGCTTATGATTGCGTACTTGTATTATCCCATTCCATTAAAACTAAATTGTGTGTGAAAAGAAGATAGAAAACTAGAGTACCTATCCGATCTAGTCGGTCAATGGCAACTGTTTCAAAGGCTCTTCTCATCATTGGATATTCCTCTAGGACCTCATTGAAATTGTCCACCGAAAGTGAATACAGACGACAATATGTATCAGCTCGAACACTGGCAGTACGGCGTCCTTTGGTAAGCAGGCAAATCTCTAAAAAACAAGGAAGAAAGACTCATTTGGTCATTTTCTTTTAAAAACCATTAAGGCTGCTCACAATTAAAAAAAAAGTCTCATGTTGTCAGAAACCAATGATTAGCAACATTTTCTGTTTTATCAGCAAATTCCTTCTGATGATTAAAAGTATCCACGTACCAATACTCAATCTTAAAATAATGTTCCTTTTTAAACAATTAAAACTTTTGGTTCAAATGGAAGGCTGAAACAGATTACACCTATTCCCGCTCACTCCAATCGCCCTGAAATAACAAAGAAC